ACGAGTATCACTTTATGTCCCACAATCCAGTCCAATCCCTGTCTGAAGAGTTGGCCCCAGAAATTGTTTTAGTTCTGGGCTGATAGAGAATCCGGGGGCCATGCTTTCCGGGGTTCCTCCAGTCTCAGTCAGACCATTAAGTCTGGTCTTCTTACTAGAATTTGAGTTCTGCACCCTACCTTTCTCCTGCTCCATCAGGGACTCTCTGTTGTGTTCCCTGTCAGGGTGGTCATTGGTGGTAGCCGGACACCATCTAGTTTTTCTGGTCTCAGGCTGATGAAGTCTCTGGTTTATGTGGCCCTTTCTGTCTCTTGGGCTAAGACTTTCCTTGTGTCTTTGGTGTTCTTCATCCTCGTTTACTCCAGGTGGTTGGGACCAATGGATGCATCTTAGATGGCTGCTTGCAAGCTTTTAAGAACTTAATAGGGAGTTCTTTAATGTATTGAACTTATTTGACACAAAAACAAATTATTACAAACAACTGAAAAGTCCACCAACAGATGAATGGATAAACAAAATGTGATCTAGACCTACAGTGGAACATTACTCAGCCATAAAGAGACCAGGAAGGCTCGATGCATGCCGCAACATGGATGAACCCTGCAAACATCATGCTGAGTGACATAAGTCAGATGCAAAAAGACAAATAGTGCACGATCTCACTTACGTGAAATAAGCAAATATATAGCAACCAAAGCTTATTAGTAGCCACCAGTGGTCAGAGGAGCAGGAAAAGGGAAGTTTTTGCTTGTGGGGGAGGGCAGGGTGTGGGGCATTGAGTTTACGTTAATGGTGGCAGAATGATTTGGAAAAGGGCAGCGAGAATGGTCGCACAACTTGAGGAATGTAATTGGTGTCACTGAGGTGGACATGTAGAAATTATTAAGGTGGCCTATGTTTTGATATGTATATTTTCACCACAATAAAAAAAAAATTACAATCAATTCATCAAATCTCTGGTGACAATTTTTGAATCCCAAGTTGAGATATATTTAATCTAAAAGGATTTGTTTTATTTCATTTCTCTGAGAACTAATTCAAAGGCATTTTAGAAATCACATTTAGTTATATTAAAAAAAAAACCAAATCCGTTGCCGTTGAGTTGATACCGAGTCATTGCGAACCTACAGGACAGAGTAGAATTGCCCCATAGGGTTTCCAAGGAGCGGCTGGTGGATTGAACTGCCGACCTTTTGGTTAGCAGCCGTAATTCTTAACCACTGCACCACCAGGGCTCCATTTAGTTATATATTTAGTAACATTTAGTTTTATTGAAAATGATAAATTATATGAAATTAAGACTTTTCCAGAACATCTGGGACATGTGGTTGGCATAGATGTATCCTTTTGGGGAATTCCTGCACCACCTCAACATCCATCTCTCCCCAGAGCTTGTTTTCATCTTTTACCCGTTTAACATGAACCTATTAAACTTTGTGAGTCGATGCAGACATGATGTCAATTCCCCATTCAGTTTTACTACATTATGCATATTCATGCAAGCAATTAATAATCAGTGACAATGATAGTAAGTTAAAAACAAGAAGTGTAATTAATATTTAATCTTCATATCTGCAGTCTAATCCATGCTTTTTGCCCAACTATAGTATTCATAAATGCAAGAGTAAAATTAGCCATCAAGCCTACCTGGATTGAGTGGAAAATGAATCCACAGTGCAGAGATAATTAAACAGAAGTGCAAAAGGGAAAGCAGCCCCTTGATAAAGTGATAGAGGATGGAGCTGAAGCCAATCCATTATGAACTGGAACAAAAGACACTGTCCTTTCCTGGGCCCTTAGCTGGTTGCCTTCCTGCATGAGACATCTCAGCTACGCTCTCTCTGATCTTTTTATATGGTTCAGGGAGGCCTGGGTGAACAAAGGGCAAACAAAGCACTAGTGATAAGGGGCATAAAAGCTAGCTTTCTGATAAAGGGAACCGCTCTATAGAAACCAAAACGCAGCTGGATGTTATATCACTTAACAATGGCATGTACTAAAAACGCTGCTTTCAGAAGCTGTGGTTTTGTTCAGTTTACATTCCACATTATTTGCCTTTCCGGTCATAAGACTGTCATATTTTCTTCACTAAGCTAGAGAAAAATCTCATTTTCCTCTTGTGGACAGACGACTCAGTGGACTGGCGAGTGGGAACAAGAAGGTGAGCATGAGACAGGGCGGTGGGTTCTAAGAGCAGAAAAACAAGATTCACCCCCCAACCATCACTGTTCTCCTTACACCGCCTTTTTTTTTTTTTTTTTTTTAAGGTACCCATCACCAGCCCTTATATGTCTCGATGAATTTATTGCCATTTCCCTAGTGCAATGTGAGCTCTATGAGCCAGGGACTTTGTTTTGGATATTGCTGTATCTCCGGCACACAGAACAGTGTTGGGCACATGCTATGTACTCAGTAAATATGTTGAAGTAAAGAATGTTTTGAGGAAGCAAAAGGGAAACTTTTTCTTTGGAATGTGGGCAAGAAATACAATGAGACTGCCCAGAGGCAAGACAAGATCAACAGGCCATCTCATAGCTAGCAGACGGCCATCTCCTAAGCCCACGACATTATAGGGCTGTCCCTGATCAGCTGTTTTTCATCTCTAAAGGCACAAGCAAGAGCAAACAACCTTAAAAAAGGATAAGAGAATACAGCCTGACATTGAGCATCATAAGAACAAGGACCGTATCACAGTCAAAGACACCTCCACACACAGAAAACCCAGGAGCTTTGAGCAAGTCACTTTACCTCTCCAAGACTGAGCTCCTTCATCTTAAAATTGTTGTTGTTGTTAGGTGCCGTCGAGTCAGTTCCGACTCATAGCAACCTTATGTACAACAGAACAAAACACTGCCCAGTCCTGCACCATCCTCACATTCGTTGTTATGCTTGAGCCCATTGTTGCAGCCACTGCGTCGGTCCATCTTGTTGAGGGTCTTCCTCTTTTTTGCTGCCCTCTACGTTATCAAGCATGATGTCCTTCTCCAGGGACTGGTCCCTCCTGATAACATGTCCATAGTATGTGAGACGAGGTCTCGCCAACCTTGCTTCTAAAGAACATTCTGGTTGTACTTCTTCCAAGACAGATTTTGGCGTTCACGGTATATTCAATATTCTTTGCCAACATCATAATTCAAAGGCATCAATTCTTCTTCAGTCTTCCTTATTCGTCTTAAATTAGACATACCTAATTCCTGCCTCAACAAAATTCTTAGGAAGATTAGATAAAGCACGTAAAAGTATTCAGTACAAAGCTGATTGGTTGAATGCAGTTGAAGGTAAACAACTGAATAATTAAAATTATGAGCAATATTGGGCGACCGCTTTATGACAGACTCTGTGATAAACACTAGGAATATAACGATGAATAAGACATGGTCTCTTCCCTCAAGTAGCTCTCAATCTACTTAAGAGGCAGAAATGTAAACAAATATTTTCATTAAGGAATTACAGGTGCAGTCTGTCCCAAACAGGTAGGCTTCCAGTCCACCCAGATGCACCTCAGAAGAAAGACCTTTGTGATCTACTTCTGAAAAATCAGCCACTGAAAACCCTACGGAGCAAAGCTCTACTCTGACACACACGTAGTCACCATGAGTGGAAGTGGACTCAACAGCTACTGATTTGTTTTTTTTTTAGTATCAAGGGCATACTGCAGTGGATGAGGAAAAGAAACAATCCACTGTGGAGACGGAGAATTGAAATAGATTCTGGAGAGTGGGAGTGCTTACGTGGAAGAAGGAGGCTTCAGAGGTGGGGCCCTCAGAAACTGCCGGTGAAGTATATATGGAAGTGTGAAGAGTGACTAGGATGAACTCTACAGTTTCCAGCTTGAGCAACTGGGTTAATGGGTGTCTTAGTTATCTAGTGCTGCTGTAACAGAATACCACATGTGGATGCCTTTAACAAAGAGAAATTTATTTTCTCACAGTCTAGTAGGCTAGAAGTCCAAATTCAGGGCGTCAGCTCCAGGGGAAGGCTTTCTCTCTCTGTCCGCTCTGGAGGCTCCTTGTCATCAATCTTCCTCTGGACTAGGAGCTTCTCTGAGCAGGAACCCTGTGTCCAAAGGACGAGCTCTGCTCCTGGCTCTGCTTTCTTGGTGGTATGAGGTTGTTCCACCCCCCTTTCCTTTCTTTTTATCTCTTGTGAGACAAAAGGTGGTGCAGGCCACACTCCAGGGAAACTCCCTTTACATTGGATCGGGGTGACCTTAGTACCGGTGTTACAATCCCACCCTAATCCTCTTTAACATAAAATTACAATCACAAAATGGAGGACAACCACACAATACTGGGAATCATGGCCTAACCAAGTTGACACATATTTTGGGGGGACACAATTTAATCCATGACAATGGGAGATTCCTTTACTGAGGTGGAGATCAAAGGAAAGGGGGGGGGGGAGACGAAAATCGAAAGTTCCATTCGGGATGTTTTAGGTTTGATAAGACTTTGAGGCTTCCAAGTGGAGATGCCAAGTACGCAATCGAATAATCAATCAGGTGTGAAGTTCGGCAAAGAGGAGAGAACTAGAGAATTAGAGAATGCCAGCAGGTAGAGGGCACTTAAACTAGGGAAGGACGAGGTCGTAAGGAATGAATGAGAAAAGGGCCGAGAACACAGGAGGAGGAGGAATCCTAATACGTAGTGGCCGGAAAGTAGGCTAAAAATGAGCATGCAGTGAGGTGGGAGGAACGCCTGCAGGGATGGTCACAATATCAACTGCTGCTGTCAAAATGAGGTCATAATGAGGCTCGTTGGGTTAGACTAAACCGCTGTCTCAATCCGAGTCTATTAACCCCTAGACAGTGCTAAAATCAACTGGAGGACAGTCCCCAGGTCCCCAACAACCAGGCAGCCGCGCCTCGGACGGCCCAGCGCATCCAGGTACTGAGCAGCCACAAAGAACCTGGAGCCGCGGCGCCACCCCACTGGCCCCGCCCCCGACTCCGCCCCACCGCCTCCGGCTCCGCCCCTGTCGACTCCGCCCCTCTTCCAACCCTATCAGGCTCTCCAATCGCGGGTAGAGATCATCGCTTTACCCAGGCAGTTGTGTCGATCTCGGCTCCAACTGGAGACTGGGGCCGTGCCATGGCGGAGAAGACTCGAAAGAGGTGTGTTTTATTGTTTGCGATAAGCCTTTTCTCAACTCTCTGCAGGGGTGGAACCTGTTCCTGGTCGGTAATGGTAGGCACTGAGATGGTGTCTTGTTCCGGGCCCTCGATCTGATGGTACCTGAAGCCCAGACCTGACAGTCGCCGAGGGAGGAGGCGGGGCGGGGGGACTGAATGCTGAATCGGTGCCGGGAGGGCGCCTTTTGTTCCTCTATCCTGCCCTCACCTTGTTGTCCCTCACCCCGCAACACGCCTGCGCGGAAGGTGGGGGTGTCCGGGTGGGGCTGCGAGGGGAGGATGACATCGCCCCCTTCCTAGGGCCGCGAGGCACACCGCGCCTCCCATTTCCTGTTGCGCTTAGTGCGGCTGGACTCTGGGTTGAATTTCCGAGACACCCGCAGTAGTGTTGGACGCACCCTAAAGCCTTCCTGTCTGGCTTGGGCGGCGCCTGTGTTAGTGTAAACACTGTGACTGATTCCCCACCAGCCGCTCCGCGGGAGAAAGATATGGCAGTGTGCTTCCTAAAGATTACAGCCTCAGAAACCCTAAGGGGCAGTTCTACTCTGCCCTATAGGGTCGCTGAGTGAGAACGGACAGAACGGCAGGGGGGTTGGGTTTGGTTTGTCAAAAGGGAGGCCGCTGGGATTACAGCTGTTCCAAATATTCTGCCCGACGTGGACATGCTCTTCTGTAAAAATGTGAGGACAGGAACTGTGGCTTCTCCAGCAGTCTTCATCGCTGGGTACTGTTCGTGGAAACGGCTTGGATGAGAGAAATGCTTAAGTGAAACCATTTTCAAAAACACCGATGTTGAGCACCCTCTAGTTTTTGAAGAAGAAAACACATTGTTTCTGGTGACGTAAATTAAAGATAAGGTGGTTCTCCTATTTAGGCAGGTAATCTGTAGTCTATAAATATTATGTAATGTAGAGATGAAGGTGTTGCTGATTTATTTTAATAGTTAGCCTTGCCATCCCAGCTGCCTGCACCCTTCCAGCGCTGCACCGCGCGGAGGTGCAGTGGAGCCTACGCGGAGATGTTTGGGGCACGCTGTAGTTGCTCTGGTAGTGAATGTGATTATCTTCTGCTTCACCCAGAAGAGTCCTGACTGTAACACAAACACTACCTGGGACCTCTCTCTCGGGCATAAAACTTACGGGGCACTTGTGTGTCTCTCCTACCCTCGTGTGCCCAGGACAAGTTAAATGTTAGATAATGCTCCTTTCATACAAAATCATAGTGAGGAAGGAGGCTCAGGGGATGGAAAATTGGAATGGGAAATATAGTCTAAAACAAAAGACATTTTATATAAACTGATTTATTTGACCAGGGCTTAATAAAATTGCATATTTTAACTCACACAAACCCATTTTAAATGAAAAGAGCCAGAGAAGTAGCATTTACAAGTGATGATACATTCAAGGACAGTATCATTCAGTTATCTCCGGAGAAATTTCCAGAATGATACGGTGATTGATGTCAAGACAATGATGCTCCAGGAATGAATTTTACTTTAAGAAACATCTAGTTTCTGAGCCTCATTTTCTTCATTTATAAAATGAGAGAATTGGACCAGGAGATTTTCTGCTTTGTTATTCTGCTCCATCTTGCTGAAGTTTTTCTTTCTTCTCCTACTCAGTTGTCGTTGTTAGCTGCTGTTGAGTCCCTTCCAGCTCACAGCGACCCTGTGCACAACCGAACGAAACACTGCCCGGTCCTGCGCCATCCTAACAATTGTTGCTATGCTTGAGCCCATCGTTGCAGCCACTGTGTTAATCCATCCCGTTGAGGGTCTTCCTCTCTTGCTGACCCTCTGCTTTACCCAGCATGATGTCCCTCTCCAGGGACTGGTCTCCCTTGATAACATGTCCAAAGTACATGAGACAAAGTCTGGACAGCCTCGCTTCTAAGGAGCATTCTGGCTTCAAGACAGATTGTTCGTTCTTCTGGCAGTCCAGGGTAAATTCAATATTCTTCACCAGCACATAATTCAAAGGCATCAATTCTTCTTTGGTCTTCCTTATTCATTGTCCAGCTTTTGCATGCATATGAGGCGACTGAAAACACTATGGCTTGGGTCAGGCGCACCTTAGTCCTCAAAGTGATGTCTTAAAGTTTTTTAACACTTTAAAGAAGACTTTTGCAGCAGATTTGCCCAATGCAATATGTTGTTTGATTTTTTGACTACTGCTTCCTTGGGCGTTGATTGTAGATCCAAGTAAAACGAAATCCTTGACAGCTTCAGTATTTTCTCCATTTATCATGATGTTGCTGATTGGTCCAGTTAAAACTAAGTAAGCATTTTCATATATGGATATTTAAGGTTTTAATAACTTATTTAAAATGTAAAATTCATGACTTAGAAGATAGGTTCATGAGTTTTTATAACCTTATGGAGCTAGAATGCTTTCCCCTAAGAGTGGGGACAAGCAAAGACGTCTGTTCTCACCACTCCAGTTTAACATAGTACTGGAAGACTTAGCCAGGGCAGTACGGCAACAGCAACAGAAAAATAATAGGCTTACAGATTGGAAAAGAAGAAATAAAAAATGACTCTATTCACAGATGACATGATTATTTACATAGAAAAATCCCAAACAATTGACAAGGTACTTGAACTAAGTGGATTTAACAAGGTTGCAGGATACAAGGTCACTACACAAAATTATTGTATTTCTGTATACTAGCAATGAACGACTAGAAATCGAAATCAATTATAAAGAAAAAATATCTGTAATGGTATTGTTATTTCCTAGAAGCTGAGAGTGGATTTCACACCATGAGCAGTATCATTGCTGTTAAGAAAACATCTTTACTTAAATGAGAACAAGTTACCTAATGACTATCGATTTTTCTTTCGTGTTTTTCATGCCTGCTTTTCCTTGAGCTACATCACAAACTTGCCTTCAAGGACATGACTGTCATCTTCACAGGGAAGTCATTTAATACAATGCCTCGTGTCAGCTCATGGCCCAGCTAGGGGGAGCGTTTATCTCGATACAGCCGTATCAAACAAAAGACCACGGCAGAATATAAAAAATCATCAACAAATGATTTAGAAATTATTAGTCTTTTGAACCATTTGCACTATACTTTATAACACTTGATAAGCGTATAGTCAAAGAATAAATTGGAATATTTGTAGATTTTTAATATCTACCTTAATTTCTAAATTAGGAGTGCCTTGCTTGCTGTGAAGTATTTTGAATACACTGTGCATTCCTTTCCTCCCTTTTTACAAAAATAGTGACAGGTTATATACTGTCCATTTTCTGTGCCTTGCTGTTTTTAATTAACAATATGGCTTGGAGATCATTGCAAAATCTTCACATAAAGGGATTATTATTTTTTCTGACTGTGTATTAGTCTATACTAGTTGCCATCGAGTCATTTGCACCTCATGGCAAGCCCATGTGTGTCGGAGTAGAACTGTGCTCCATAGGGTTTTCAATGGCTGATTTTTTAGAAGGAGATCACCAGGCCTTTCTTCCAAGGTACGTCTGGGTGGACTTGAACCTCCAGCCTTTCAGTTAGCCGTCTAGTGTGTTACCCATCATAACTGTTACCTTCTTCTTCCTACAGTGTGAAGATTGCTCCTGGAGCAGTTGTGTGCGTAGAAAGTGAGATCAGAGGAGATGTAACTATAGGTAAGAACATAGTTTATTAGTGGTGTTTCTCAAGAATTGATGTGATTTAACTTATTTCAGTGCTTTACAATTAGGTATTCTATGTTTGTCTGTTTCACTGATGTCCTAATTATACTGACAAAACAATGTATTTTCTCCATAACTTTTTAACATTTCTAGAAGAATATAGTGTGATAGAGTCTATATTTAAATTCCTATCTCATATACTAATGAGGCAATATAACAAAGTCATTCATTTATTCAAAGGATATCTCTTGTATATCTGCTCTGTGCCAGGCACTGTGCTAGCACTAGGGACACCGCAGTGAACACAGCAGACAAAGGTACTGTCTTTGTGGAGCTTAAATTCTGGGCAGTCATTAGAGTGTGGCCCAGGGAGGCTGGTAGACCTGAGTTAGGATCCTTGTTTCTTACCTGCTGGGTTACCTTGGACTATTACTTAACCTCCCTAATCTTCATTTTTCCTGTCGGTGTAATTGTGTTTATCAGGATTCGGTTCAGCTGCATGCAGTGGCGGCTAAACCGTGCAGAGATTTCTTCTCCTGTATAAAAAAGTCTAGAGGTCAGCAACTCAGGGCTGGCTGGTCAGTTGATGGTTCAGCGCATCTCCTGAAGCTCCAGCCTCGCAGGCCAGGACGAGACGGCTAGGGCACCAAGAGTCATCTTGGATGAGAAAAGGGAGACACAAGGGTGTACCTCCCAGTTAAGTCGGCTCCCTTTAAATAGCTTTCCTGAAAGTCCCTCGCAGCCCTTCTGTGTGTGTGGTGGCTGGAACTTGGTCTCCTGGGCACATTGCCACCCCTAATGACATCAGGCTTCTTTTACAAGGAAAACTCAGAGAATGACTGTCAGGTGGCAATGAGCACCTTCTGTCACCTGGAGAACAGGAGCACCTGCCCCCAGGGCTTGTTGGAGGATTAAATGAGACCGTGTCTGTGGGAGTCATTGTCCAGTCCTGAGCACATGGTAAGCACTCAATCAGTGTGAGCTGTTAGCACGTTCAGTCTTACCCCTGCAGCCTTGCTAGAGGTCAAGTCCAACATTTAGATCAAACAGACAATTCAACATGTGTTCATACTTATGTGAACATGATTAAGTCCCCAAAAATTACATTTTACTCAGTTCTTTTCTACATGTTTTCACTGGATATGGTGCCCTTGCAGCTTTATAAATGTGAGCCCAGCCTTACCCGCAGCTGTGTGTCACCTGCATGTCACCAGAGTAGACCCTTCGGTGGGTCCAGTATGCTTTCAGAGAGAAAATACGCCCCGTCCCCTATACTTAGTTTCCTTACTAGAAAAAACAACTGTAATGTGATTTTTTTTTTCCCTAGTAAGTCTGAGCCTCCGATCAATTTAGGCATCATGCCTTATAAAACCAGTGAAGGTTGTGCCAGTATTATGAAACACTGTTAGGAATTTGCTAGGTTGGATTTATGGAATTCTTTTATATTGACAGAATCTCCACGTTTAGCAAATGATCCTGTTTCCTTTCAGTGCTGTGCTCTTTGTCTTTGGTATTACTTAAACTGCTTGCAGATTGTTTCCTGGGGAGAAATTACGATGGCCGCGTGTTTATCAGACTGCTCCTCAGCATTGTTTGTGCTCTTGATGTTTATATCAGATTATGATTTCATCGTGGTTCTAGGAATAGCTCTGAATAATAGCACACAAGGTATTCTATAATAACACTAAAATAATGTAGTAATTATGTAAAATTTCCCTTGCATTTCTAGTTCTTCCTCATTTTAAAGAATAAGTATGCACGATCTACTATATGATAAAAAACCCACCCGTTGCCGTAGAATCAGTTCCAACTCACAGTGACCCTACAGGACAGAGTAGAACTGCCCCATAGGGTTTCCAAGGAGCAGCTGGTGGATTGGAACTGTTGACCTTTTGGTTAGCAGCTGAGCTCTTAACCATTGTGCCAGCAGGGCTCCCTGCTATGTAATAGACACATAGACATTATAGATATATCTACTTTACAGGCATAAATAAACATACAGGTATACATATATATGTGTATGTGAGTGTAATTCAGATCTGAAATAAGTTCTGTTACTTACAGAAGCTGTTCTAGACGCCATGAAAACAAAGGATGGGTCGGCCACTGCGGAGGATCGGGCACTGTCTCTCTTCCCTCTGGCTTCACCACTTTGTACCCCTCCCCTTCCTTGCCCCTCTTCCCCTCCTACCTTCCCTAAATGTGTAAGTTATGTAAGGAAATTCAGTGTTTAAATCCACTTTCTACCTAGTATTTCACCACTACCTGATAGTGTGCAGCTTCAGTGCTTAAAATATAAAACGACAGTTCAACACAGATTTTCTGTGATGGATTATAGCATTAAGAGGTGATCGTTTGTTGTTTTCTTTTTCCTTAGAAAGAAGTCTGTAATGAAGTTTATTAGAGACTGGGCCTAAGTTAATATTTGTTATATTTATTTTTGACCCAGTTTTTAAAAACAAGAAAATCTGCTCTCACACTTCACAGAAACATCTCAGTTTTAAAGATTAAGGAAAAGAGTCAGAAGGGCGCCGCAGCCCCGGCAGTCTGTCCTCCCGTGGTTCTTCCCGCGTTTGCTTTTTGCGTACTTATGTAGAATTTATGTATCAATATGGAAATTTTCCAAAACGGGTATTTTGATAATCATTTCTATCATTGTTGTATGTGGTGTAAACATCTTTAATCTTTTGACTATTGTTAATTCCTTCTTCTTTATAAATTTTAGCTCCTGGGATATATAAAGTTAAAGCAGAGAGTGGCAGTAAGTCATCTGATTAAAACTCACTCTCCCCAACATGTTTTATTCTTCATTTTAGGACTTTTGCTGTTTTTTTTTTCACTTAATTTCCTGGAAAAATCAATTTAAATCTTTTCCTGTTATACTATGGATATGGAGATTTGGTTACTTAATAAGTTCTGTTTTCTGGGTAAGTAGCAATAAACTTAGGTGTAGTTTAACTGATAGATCTTGGGGATGGTGTGTGTAGCTTTCCATCCCCTAGTTGTTTGTATTTTTATCAGCTTATTCCATTCTGAAATATTTAGGAGGGAAGTTCGTCTTTTCCCTTGCTGTCTTTCAGTATAGTGGAACTTGAAGCCCGATCTTCCATTTTCCTAGAATGCTAGGTATTTGGTTTATCAGAGAAGCTGGTCAGTCAGAAGCTTTGAAGTGTCCTTTTGTTAACCAGGAAGCCCAGGACTTGAGGCTCTGCTGGAGTCTAGCGCCCCCCAGCCCCCCAGTAGAGACTGCTCAGAAACAAACCATGCTGAAACTAACAGCTCGGTCTTCAGCACAATCTGGGTAAATAAGGGTTCATAGTATCATGTCTGCTTTTAATTAGGCTACCTGGTGGCGCAGTGCTTAAGACCTACGGCTGCTAATCAAAAGGTCAGCAGTTCGAATCTACTAGGCGCTCCTTGGAAACCCTATGGGACAGTTCTACTCTGTCCTTTAGGGTCGCTATGAGTTGGAATGGACTCGACGGCAACAGGTTCAGGTTTGGTACCTTGATTCATGGGCCACGAATAATTTCTGTAAATCTTTCTTTGGAAAGCTGAAGAGCATTTCAGGAAGGCACCTGTAAGCGCAGTCCCGTGGTCCCATGATCAGGTGAAAGGCAGACTCTTGGTTTAGGACAGGGCTTGGTTGGGACGCCATAAATGTGAGGGCAAAACTGGGCACAGTGAGAAAACTTTGTGACGGAAGCATTTGTCCCACTTATTCTGTCTTTCTTTCCATTAGAGTTTTTAATACACTTCGAAAGCCCCCCTTTTTCTTGTGGAGATCTTTTTCGATAAGGCTAAACAGTGGCTTTGGCTTGAGAAATTCATCGCATATAAAAAGCAGCTCTTACAGGTACTTCAGCTTACAGATTAAGGGAATTGTTATAATTTTTCAAAGAGAGAGCTTGTGGCTTTTTGAATGATTTATTGACACATGAAAATGTACACAAAGATTGCTTTCCGTGGCAAAGACAGACAGGAAAAATGTCCTTTACCAAATGAGGGAAATGGAAATTTGATGCAGGGAATGTCTTTCTGGCTGTGTCCCACCAAGGCCAGCCAACCATTTAGAAAAATAATTCATCAGCCAGTAAGGCAACCCCAACCCTAGACACATTTATCCAAACAAGGACATAAGCCAAACAGGGTTTCAGGATATTTGGTAAGAAAATAGACAAACTGCCCTGCCAGAAAGAGCTCCAAGGTTCACAACAGGTTTAAAAAAGAAACTCTCCATGATGACAGATTTTTATGTTTAAAGTATTTTAACCTTGAGACCCATAAACTTGGTTTGAATTCAGAGCCAATCTAGGTGAAAGTGCTTATTGCTTTCAGAAAAGCATGGAGCAAGCTGTGCCCCTGCCTCACGGTCACCGCCTGTGACCTGGAATAGTGTTCGAAGAGCCAGGCTCTCTGCTGCCTGACCTCCAGCAGCAAACTGTGGCAGAGACATAGCTGAGTTATACAAGTCACCCACCCAAGTCTGAACGTTCCTTTAAAAGTTCACCAAACCAAAATCTTAGCAGTCACATATCCTGAAGGACATGTATGCTAACCTTTCTATTCTGTGCCCCCCAAAAAAGACCTACGAGAGGCGGAACTATTACTGCCTGTGACATTTGCTGTTACGTCACAACTCAAAGTCTATAACCAAAAAAACCAAACCTGTTGCCGTCGAGTTGATTCTGACTCATAGCAACCCTACAGGCCGGAGTAGAGCTGCCCCATAGGGTTTCCAAGGAGCAGCTGGTGGATTCAAACTGCCAGTCTTTTGGTTAGCAGCTGTAGCTCGCCCTAACTCTTAACCACTGCCCACCAGGGCCCTCAAAGTTGATAGTTCCACTTTTAAGTTACTTTGTCCTCACAATACCAGAGACTGTAGTTTGGGGGTGCTGCCACCAGGTGGCGATGGTGTCTTGGTCACAGATCTAAACTAAGCGGCTGGCATGCCTTACCTCCCAGGACAAGGCCCTCAGATTGATAACCATGAGTTTTCCAGTTATTAAATAACCTATTAATAATGATAGAGGTCTCTGGGTAGCAAAATGGTTTACGTTCGACTACTAACCTAAAGGTGGGTGGTTCGAACCCATCCAGTGGCGCCATGGAAGAAAGGCCTAGCAATCCGTTTCTGTAAAGATTACAGCCAGAAAACCCTATGGAGCAGTTCTACTCTATAACACATGGGGTCGCCATGAGTCAGAATCAACTTGACGGCAATGGGCTTATTAATAAGGATAAAAGTATAATAACAATACTAAAACCCCTGGCTAAAACACAGCAGGCATTATTTATTGCTTAAGAAGACATGAGATTTAAGGTTATTTTATTTTTAAAATTTTGCTTATTTGTATGTGTTATTTTTGTATAACAAACACATATTACTTATGCAATTTTTGAAAGGGAAAATGGAATTATCCATTGTTTCCAAAGTTAGACTTTAGAGGAGCTTCTAAAGAAACCCATAGGTCCCAGTGACACCTGTTTCGTTAGTCCATCCTCAAGTGACTTCTTGCACATCCCTGCTTGTCAAAAGCTATGGCCTGAGGACAAGGACAGTACCTGGTGCCGTAGCTACTTATCCAGCTGTGGCAAAGGGTCTGCTTTCTGTCTGAGACACAGTGATCTCTTCCTCCTGTCATAGAATTTTGAAGCTAGTTATGGGAAATACCTAAATTCATCGCTTTACTGCTCTGCAGTAAGGTGCGGGATTTGCTTCCCGGCTGACAAGCAGGTATTACCCTGACACCCGAGAAGAGGGGTGGAGCGGTCCCTTTTCTTCTATTTCTCAGATCAGGATGAGTGAGTTTGTATGTCATGATAAAGTTATTTGTTAGCTCTTGATAAGTATGCAATATCTAGATTAGCAAGTAAATGAACAGTTTATACAACTGAATGCTGAATTTCACGGAGAGTGTCAGCTTCCTGACCCCTTCCCCACCTTCCCCCAACACGTCTGCCTACCCTCCCTTATTTCAGAGTCCGTGGCCTCCCGTTCACTCGTTTACCAATATAAAGAGCCTTGGTGCTGGGAGGGAACAGGGGTTGGAAAGAGAGGTTACAAGGAGGCTATGTTTTCTCATCAGTGATTTCATGATTACAAAAATGCTAGGCCTGGTGGGTAAATAAAATCGGGGGAGGGAGCATTACCATTCCAGCGTCAGTGTCCCTGATTCGGTGATGCGGTGCCTCTACCACCCTGATCCAGCCTGGATGGGATAAGACTCCCTGCTGCTCCCTTAAATCAGAGATTGTGGCATTGCTCAGGTCTCCCTATATGAGTGTGAGGCTCCATTAATCACATTTGGCTCCTCCCACTGCCTGCCTTTAACCCTTTCAACCTTGAACTGGTTAAAATCACATCCTAGACCAGACAAAAAATGCTCTGCCTCCTTCCAGCGGGTAGGCTTGTAATAGGGAGATTAACAAAGTGCAAAGCTAAGGTTGGATCCCATATTCTCTGGCTCCCATCCCGCCCATGTTTGCTCCTAATCACTTCATACTGAATAAGAAAGCACCACATTATAAGCAAAGATTGTTACCTTTACGAAGGAAAGGAAGGGCATTGTTATTGCCAGCTACACAGCAGCTACTGTGTTTCCACACATTCTCTTATCTAACCCTCCCAACAACCCTGCACACCTGGTATTGTCAGCGCCCCCACTTCACGGCTGAGATGACTGAGGCGTCCAAACGGACAGGAGCCCGGGTTTTCCGGCTGCAGAGCCTCTGCTGTTTCCACTCCCCTTGGCTTGAGATTTGGCGCGAACTGGAGCCCTGTGCCGTAGTGGTTTAGAGCTACGGCTGTTAACCAGAAGGTCGGCTGCTAACCAAAAGGTCAGCAGTTCAAATCAGCTGCTCCTTGGTAACCCTATGGGGCAGTTCTGCTCTGTCCTATAGGGTCACTATGAGTCAGAATCGCCTCGACGGCCATGGATGTTTTACTAATGACAACAGCTGAGGAGGTAACATTTGTAAGGTGCCTAGCGTGGTGCCTGGCACATGATTAGAAAATGTTCTTCCCAACAGCCTCACCCACCTTCAGTCACCTCTCACCTCCTATTGGAAACATAGCCTTTACCAATATTTTCTTTTCATGATACTTTTTCACAGGACCTAGGACAGTGATCCACCCTAAAGCACGGATTATTGCAGAAGCCGGGCCAATAGTGATCGGTGAAGGTAACCTTATAGAAGAACAGGCCCTGATCATAAACGCGTGAGTAAGACTCCTCAGGTAGTCTGAACTAAGTACCACAGATAATGTTTTTGTTAATTTCAGCTATCTAGAAGAACTTTTTACAACCACTATCTGGAAGGCCCACTATTTTTAGTGCTGGAGGAACACTAAGGATCTTTTTCAAAATAAGTAATTAGTAAATGAGGAAACCAAAGACCAGAGAGGTCCAAGGTGAGATGGCTTATTGTTGGCCAACTAGACTCTCCAGCTATCTGGTAATCCTTCCCTTACACGTCACTGCTGCGTCCATTCATCAGTCACTCATTGACTGAGTACTTCCAGCATCCAAGTGCTGCGCTGACCACGTTGCAGAGTGTTCTGAGTTTCTGGTTCTGGTTGAAATGTTAATACCCATGCCCAGACCCATGAACTGAGTGCTAATATATATTTTCATGTGTTTTGCAGGGGTAATACCCAGAATTATATTGTAAAAATTTGGGATCCTAGAGATAATTTTTAAACTTTTAAAGATAAATAAAATATTAGAACATGTACGTGATCTTAATGAAGTAGACTGTAATAGCTATGAAAATTTCATAAGCATTTGTAAGGCTTTCTAGATAAACATTTGGCAAGAAATTCAAGCTTACACCGAATTTATAGCAACAATGTATGGAATTTGTAAGAAAGGCCTTGGAAAAATATTTATGATAAAGACACTGATTTGTCTTAATGCTTACTTAGAACTGGGGAGTTTCTTCCTATATTAAGCAGTTTCTTTTTAAAATCTATCTGGTACCTTTAGCGTGAGCCAGCTAACAACAGCTATATTCTGCAGTCACTCAACTGTCCGAAATGAAGGACCATTTTAAAATAGCTTCCTCCTCTTAGACCACAAACTTTTTATGTTCTAAAAATTTTAACTGTAACTACCTAATTGCTGTTAGTTGCTGTCAAGTCAATTCCGACTCATGGAGACCCCCTATGTGCAGAGTGGAACTGCTAATAGAGTTTGCAAGGCCGTAACCTTTTGGAAGCAGATCGTCAGGCCTCTCTTCTGAGGTGCCTTTGAGTGGGTTTGAACCGCCAACCTTTCAGCCAGTAGTCGAGTGCTTAACTGTTTGCGCCACCGAGGGACTCCTCAACTACCTTATAGCATAAAATAATTATTTTATGTGAATATCTTTTTACATTCTATAATTTTGAATCAGTATTAAGGATGGAAATGTTTTAAGTTTGGCCTGATTTTGATTTCAATTTAATAGGTTAAAAGTCATAGCCAGCATCTTTTTTACGTTGTCCTCGAGAAGGCTCTCTGGACTTTGAATCTAAAAAATAAACAAAAAAAGGCTGTCCTTCTTCACACTCCTTTGACTTCCTTACATTTCAGTAACTCTTTTTAAACTCAGAATCGAGTCTTCTTCAGCACAGAGAATAAAGGATTTGTTTGGATTAAGAAATAATTTACATAGTTGTATATTTTAAGATAAAATTTATGAGAAAATTACCCAAATTCTAAAATGGGAAGAGAATGGCTTATTGTATTATTGACGTTTTGACAATTTGTCTCTTCTTTTTACAGTCACCCCGATAATATCACCCCTGACGCTGGAGATTCAGAACCCAAACCTATGATCATTGGCACCAATAATGTGTTTGAAGTTGGCTGCTGTATCCTTTACATTAATCTAAATCATTCCCAGCTGCCTGTTAGTACCAACTCTCTCCCTACAGAAAATGTCATAATCTATCTATCTAAAAGAGTTACATTTTTAGGACTAGACCATCAAGCTCTTTGAAAAAACTTGTTTACAATATATCAACAAAAAAAAAAAAAGATCCCCTCTGTTCCAGTGAACAACCCGGTAGAGTAAATGAAGAATGTTGTTTTCAGACACACATGCACACGTCTTTAGCTTAGTAACTGGAAGGTAACATCTCGCTCCTGTTGTTGATACTACAACTCATTGACAAATACCAATGGCTGAGCAGCAGGAGACACAGGAACGGTCATCCTGGCCTCTGTCCTGATTTAAGAACCGGGCCTTTGTCACCCGGGCTCCTGTAGAGTTTGAAGTAGACAGCGTGTTGTCTGCTACGGGGAGATGGTAGGTGGGGGCTGGAATGCGAAGACTGCATTCTTTGTTTCTTCCCTCCCAGAGCATCACCAGGCCTTTTGCTTGGCTCTGTTCTCTAAAAAGACAGTAAAATCTTTTCATGGTGTCATTAAAACATCAGTTTATAACAGAAAACTTTGAAGAAAAAATGTAAATGTTCAATAATAGCAAAATATTTAAATAAATTAAGCTACAAGCATCAAACGGACCACCAGGATCATTAAGCAGTCCTTAAAAATTATGTTTTTAAAAATTTTTAATGCCATGGAAAAATGCTTGCAAATTTAAGTGAACTGAATAAAATGAGCTGTGAAACTATTTTTATACAGTTTGGTTCCCAGTTATATATAGGGTAATGTGTATATATATACATATTCATACATACATAGATATATTTTTTCAACAACTCTAAAGCTATATCAAATTGTTAACAGTGTTACCTTTAAGTGATTGGGTGACGGATAGTTTTAATTTTCTTAAAACAATTTTGAAAATGTGTTACTCCTACAGAACTGGAGTGTGTTGTTATTATTAGGTGCCATTGAGTCAGTGCTGACCCATAGCGACCTTTGTACAACAGAATGAAATGCTGCCGGGCCTGTGCCATCCTCACAGTCATTGCTATGTTTGCGCCCATCGTTGCAGCCACTGTGTCAGTTCATCTCACTGAGGGTCTTCCTCTTTTTCGCTGACCCTTTACTTAACAAGTATGATGTCCTTCTCCAGCGACTGGGCCCTCCTGATAACACGTCCAAAGTAGGTGAGATGAAGTCTTGCCATCCTTGCTTCTAAGGAGCACTCTGGCTGTACTTCTTCCAAGACAGATTTGTTTGTTCTTCTGGCAGTCCGTGGTGTACTCAGTATTCTTCGCCAACACCTAATTCAAATGCACCAGTTCTTCTTCGGTCTTCCTTATTTGCTTTCTCGTGCACATGAGGCAATTGAAAACACCATGGCTTGGGTCAGGCGTGCCTCAGTCCTCAAAGTGACATCTTTGCTCTTTAACACTTTAAAGAGATCTTTTGCAGCAGATCTGCCCAATGCAGTAGGTTGTTTGATTCTTGACTGCTGCAAGGTACTTACTTCTTTAAAAAACATAAAAGTTATGTATTCACTCTTGGAGAAGTTTTTGTTTAAAGATTAAAACTTTGCTTTCAGATCGCCCTGAGCAAAGAGTTCTGGCAAGGGCAAGCGTCCATACCCCTTCCCACACCCCTGCCCCCACCCAGTGCAGTATAAGGCTATACTGTATTAGTAGGGAAAAAAAATTTACAGTATTTACTTAACTCTGACTTACAGATTCTCAAGCCATGAAAATGGGAGATAATAATGTTATTGAATCAAAAGGTAAACTATGTTCAGAGTTTCATTGTGAAAAGTAATTATGTCCTTTTGTGGGGTCCTGGGACAGTAGCTGCATAAAATCTATGGCAGGGTGTTCTGCTTGGAAGGTGTGGCTGGAAGGGGATTAAAACAGCTGTGAGACTAAGTCTTTGCCTGATTAATTCTTCATCTGGTTATGTGGTTATTTGGTTATGTGGTTAATACATTAAGTTAAAAGATCAGCTGTGCACGTTCAGATCAGAATTGGATTAAACCATAAAAATTTGAAAAAGTTTTCTACTAAATACTAGTGTCTATGAGAACTTAGTGTTACTGTAGCATTAAAGAAAAATCACTGTCTCTGGCAGTTTGCTTTCTTCACAGTCAGGACTCCTTTACCTTAGCCAATCAGAAACCAGTGTCAGCTACTTCCCGTAAGTGGGGCCAGGCAGAGGGTCATGGAATGTCACCACCACCACTGGGGAGCAGCGCCAAGCGCTTTGTCCCACGAGGGTCCAGAAGGGCCCTGAGCGATAGTACTTCCTTCCCGTAGAGTAGTGACTTACCTTCCTAGGTCCTGATTGGCATGAAAATGCTTCATTTTTTTAATAATAAAACTAGACTTTTTGTTAATCTACTTAATGGTTTTTACTGTAATTTAGATTTCTAGTTATTATCATTGTCGTTTTTTAAATTATTCTTATACGCTTACTGTGTGTCAGGTCTGTGCTCACTCTCTCACATTTACTATCTCATTTATTCCTTGCAGCAAACTGAGAAGTAGGATGATCTCTCCATTTTACAGATAAACTCGAGCTCAGAGAATTTACAGGGGCTTCTCCCAGGTCACACAGCTAGTTAACAGCAGAGCTCTGTTTTGAATGCATCTAACTTTATCCTAACTACCTCAATGCTAGACAGACGCTGAACTGAAGTATTTTAAATTTTTTTTTTTTTTTTTAGGCCAGTTTACGTTTTTATACCTACATCATCTTAGGAAAAACAGCACTGTAATCATTTGATTTCTTAAACTGCAATTCTTTGCATATTTTGAGTGCAGCGTATGTCGGCAGAAACGTCATACTGACGAGTGGCTGCATCATTGGTGCATGCTGCAGCCTGAATACCTTTGAAGTCATCCCCGAGAACACAGTGATCTACGGCACAGACTGCCTTCGTCGGGTGCAGACTGAGCGGCCACAGGTATTAAAAGACTTCCTTCCAGGGCTGCCAGTTTTCCTAAAGTATCACAGAATTGTTTTAATGGGGGCAGTAAGTCCACATTTTAAAAAACAGTTCTAAAATTGGGATATATTTGCAGTGGAATTAATCAGTCTTAATACGAAACTTAATACGAAAAACAGCGAGAGAGAGATGACAGTGACACATTGGTTTATGGGAAAAGAAAATCCAGAGATGTTACTCCTGGTCTTACGTGTGTGCACTAAAGATGCATCATCAAACCTTTTAGGAGTGAAACTTTTATTCACTCTTAAAACATCTGTCTTCGTGTGTAAGGAATAACCCTACCAAATGTATACTGGACATCCACCTTGGGTCCATCTATTAATTTACTTACATAGCTTGATAATAAACACAGCCTATGAATAAGCAGGTGTGTTTGGAAATTTTTCTGGCTTATGAGAAATTATCCCCCCCTGATAACCAGGATCAAGGATAGTGAAGCATACTTCTGTGGAGTTTCATGTTAGAGTAGGAGATGGTTGAGATAGGGCTTCCTTTGAACAGAAGATATTCTGATTGAAGCTTTGAGCCTCATTGCTTGCCACATTCAATATAGTGTATGTTTTAGTTGTCCAGCCTCCTTCCCTTCCCCCAGAATAAATATTTTCAAGACATTTCTTCTTATACTCAGTCATATTTTATCAGAAATTGAAACTCTGGTTCTTTTATGGATTACTCTATGTCTGTAATGTATGTTTGTTTTTTAATTATATGCAATTAAATTTACTTCTTTAAACCAAATAGGAAACAAGAACAAATAAACTAAAAAAAAAAAATCAGATACTTTTTCACTATCTTTCTGCATAACAGAAAAAAATAACTGCAGAGGGGGAAATGAAGCTGGAGCTAGGGAAGGGAGGTTAGAATTAAGTGAGCAAGAATATCTGAAGTCTCAGTACATAATGGTATTCAGCACTGTTTTCAAAATTTCATTGATTGTAAGCATCACATAGAGATCCGTAGTAAAAATAAAGATTCCCCAGACTTACTGAATCATAATGTCTAAGGAAGGGGCCTAAAAATCCGTATTTTTACAAGTGTCCCAAGTGAGTTTTATACTCAGAGAAACTTGGGGGATGCTAGTATATGACCAGTGACAGTCAGCTGTATTGTAGCTGTGCGGCTGTGTAGGTAATATGGAAAGCAATGTCCCTTGGTTATTTTACTTATGTGGTCTTGTTTTTAGAGGCCACAGTGAAACTAGGAAGGCAAGTTTGAAAGGCTGAAAACTGATATATGTATAAAATCAGAGTCTACCTTACACGTTATTTTTATATATAAATCCTACGACCTTTCTTATTACCAAACTAATACATGTTTATTGTAAAAATAAAAAACAAAGCAGGTGAGGAAAAATAAGTCAGTGAAAATCTCCTGTAGTCCCATGACCTAGCGATAACCATTTCTACCTGGCACTCTTGACTGTGTTTCCTGCTAGTTAATTTCCTAACCACCTTATTTTTTTTTAGCCCCAAACACTACAGCTGGATTTCCTGATGAAAATCTTGCCCAACTATCACCACTTAAAGAAGACGACAAAAGGAAGCTCGACTCCAGTGAAGGACTAACACAGCGTGTGACCCCAGGACAGCGTTTCATCTCGACCACAGTCTCATGAAAGGCATAGGGTTTCTGCAGTCGTCGCAGCTCCCAGGGTAATACACGTCGACTCTGTTTTGTAAGATTGAGTTAGAGGGGAAAGTAATGTATTTGCATTGTAACTGTCCTCTATAATTTATATAAAATGTATTATTTTCCTACATTGTTGCTCCTTTTCTGATAACTTACAGATTTAGTTTATTTTTCTTTTGTTATACAAAATATTGGCCACAAATTTTAGTTATGTAAAAGACTCCCCGTGATAAGAAGCGACACGTTGTTATGTATTTATATTCTAACACATTCTAAACTAAATAAAAGTGCTGATGACGGGACGTTTAGTGAGCAGAGTTTAATCAGTTTTTCCGCTTGCATTACTTTTCCCTATAGCTGTCTTCATTTTTATTATGTACTGGCTGTAATAAAGCTGACGTGTTCACCTCTTGTGGATATGCAGGTGTTTAAAACGTCTGGTGAAATTTCAGCAGCTACTGAATTCATTTAGACTTTATTTCCAAGAAAAATATTATTTTTCTTTTTGGTAAAATAAAAGTCATCAGGGAAAGCTATATTCAGTACATTAACTATTCAGAAAGAATGACGTCTGACTAACATGACAAGTAATGACCATTAATTGAGTGATATTCCTGGGTTTCTGCCGACAATGAAAAGAAAAGAGATTTTAAGATATTTATAAATATATGAAATTAATTTTGGCATACTTGTTGTCGTTAGGTGTCATCGGGTGAGTTCTGCCTCATAGTGACCCTGTGTACAACAGAATGAAAACACTGCCCGGTCCTGCGCCATCCTCACGATCGTTGCTATGTTTGAGCCCATTGTTGCAGCCACTGTGTCAGTCCATCTCATTGAGTCTTCTCATTTTTTGCTGACCCTCTGCTTTACCAAGCATGATGTCCTTCTCCAGGGGCTGGTCCCTTCTGATAATATGTCCAAAATATGTGGGACAGAGTCTCACCATCCTTGCTTCTAAAGAGCATTCTGGCTGTACTTCTTCCAAGACAGATTTGTTTGTTCTTCTGGCAGTCCATAGTATATATTCAGTATTCTTTGCCAACTCTATAATTCAAAGGCATCAAAAAAGCCTGTATGGATTACACCTCAACATAAAGAAAATGAAAATCCTCACAACTAGACCAATCAGCAACATTGTGATAAACGCAGAAAAGATTAAAGTTGTCAAGGATTTCATTTTATTTGGATCTACAATCAATGCCCACGGAAGCAGCAGTCAAGAAATCAAACGATATATTGCACTGGGCCAATCTGCTGCAAAAGACCTCTTAAAAGTGTTAAAAAGCAAAGATGTCACCTTGAGGACTAAGGTGCGCCCGACCCAAGCCATGGTATTTTCAGTCGCCTCGTATGCATGCGAAAGCTCAACAATGAATGAATAAGGAAGACCAAAGAAGAACGGATATCTTTGAATTATGGTGTTGGTGCCAGAAGAACGAACAAATCTGTCTTGGAAGAAGTACAGCCAGAATACTCCTTAGAAGCAAGGATGGCGAGACTTCGTCTCACATACTTTGGACATGCCAGCAGGAGTGACCAGTCCCTGGAGAAGGACATGCTTTGTAAGGCAGAGGGTCAGCAAAAAATGAGAAGACCCGCAATGAAATGGACTGACACAGTGGCTGCAACAATGGGCTAAAACATAGCGATGGTCATGAGGATAGCACAGGACCGGGCAGTGTTTCGCTCTGTCGTACACAGGGTCGCTGTGAGTCAGAACCAACCTGACGGCACCTAAAACAACGATCTTTATGGAAGCAGATTGCCACATCTGTCTCCCTCGGAGCGGCTGGTAGGTTCAAACCACTGACCTTTCAGTTAGCAGCCAAGCGCTTAACCACTGGGCCACCAGGGCTCCAAGACTGAGCATATATCAACAATATCAAAAAAGTATCCTATTTTTGTTAACTGCTATTTATTAATATTTCAACCCTTGATGAACAATTTAGAATTTTGTTGATCTTGGAAATTTTTCAGATGAAAGATCAGAAATTGCAAAAGTGCCTTTGCAATGCCATACCAGTTCTAAAATGTTGTCTCTCAACAAGCTGTAATATGTTCAGTAAATGGCCTCTGGTCCAAACTGTACAGGTAGTATATGAGTGCAACAGTGAGGTACCTCCCAAGGACTTGATAATAGGATACCCTACGAGGGTTAAATTAAGTAAATCAACATGTAATGAGAAGAGTCTCAGTGTTTCCAGTAACATTGTAGGTTGTTGAATGCTATTAACTCATTTGAAGAGAAAAAACGTTAACAAAAATAGTCAACTGAACAGTGACAGTGTGTATGCGGTGTTCTCTGTGGAGGACAGACACTGCATCCAAGAGATGTGAGCAGTGCAGTGACCAGACATGTGCTCTACTTCAGGTAGGATATGTTTATCAAGACTGGCTGTGGCTTGGGAAGAACATACCTTGAAACTTGCCACTTCTTTTGGCTCTAATTGGAAGCTTATCCAAACCACCTTCTGATTGCTGATATGGCCTCCAAGCTATCATCATTCAGGAAAAGGCGGAACCCCGGATAAGGGCACCAAAATTCCATTCTAGACATAGTAAATTAAGGGGAGTGTTTCTGGTTTATACATCAGTCTCATGTGAATTTGGTCTGTGTAGTTCTGCCCCCCAAGATTCTGTCATTTTAGTCGATTTAGAATATTGTGATAGTGTACAGAACCTTCAGGACGGACAACCTAAGCCCAGACAGATTATTGCGAACGTCACTCTCTGTGGCTTTACCATCACCATGCTACCAGCCTTGTCCTAGTAACACTCCGTCTCACTGAGAGTGCTCTCAAACTTCCATCACAGATATTCTAGGCAAATACGCCAAATGGTGGAACACACCCTGACTTGCTTGTGACATAAAAGGTAGCAACTGAGTAGGGAAAAGAAATAAACCATTTTATCACAGCATCTTATTGCACTTTGGCAATAGTTCTTGGGTCCAGAGATGAATTTTCACCAGTTGAATAACGTCAGAAGGACCCTTGTGGCACAGTGGTTAAGCGCTCGGCTGCTAACCAAAAGGTCGGCAGTTTGAACCCACCGGCCGCTCCACGGGAGAAGGATTTGGCAGCCTGCTTCTGTAAAGATTACAGCCTCAGAAACCCTGTGGGGCAGTTCTGCTCGTCCTGCAGGGTCACTATGAGTTGGAATCCACTGGACGGCAGTGGGTTTGGGTTTTTGGTTTTTGAATAGCGTCAGGTCTAGAAAGGTGACTAGTGTCAGGTCTAGGAAGGGTGCATTCCACTGCTCTCCTGACTTCATCCGTAAAAACACTCTGATAGTTGTCTATGCTGTGTAGCAAACTACCTCCAAACACAGCAGCTTAAAACAACAAAGGGTCAGGAATCTGGGAGTGGCTCAGCTGGTGGCTCTGACTCAGTGCGTCTCCTGAGGTGGCAGTGAGCAGCCAGCCAGAGCTGCATCATCTGAAGACTTGACTAGGCTGTAGCATCTACTTCCCCTATGGCCGCCTCACATGGCCGTTGGCGGGAGGCCTCAGTTCCTCCCCACAGGAGCCTTTCCACAGGACAGCCTGAGTGTCCACAGGATATGGTGGCTGGCTTCCTCTAAAATTAGTGCTCCAAGAAAGAGAGGTAATAAGCCACAGTGCTTTTTATGACCTAGTCTCTAAAGTTGCACGCAGTCACTTCCTCTTCATTTATTTGTTAGAAGGGAGTCACTGAAGTCCATCCCACACTCAAGGGGCAGGGAAGTGGGCTCCACCTTTTAAAGGGAGGCACATCTAAGAATTCATGTTTACATCCATGTATAGCTGGGTTCCTCCACTGTCAGCATGTCTTAGGGGGTCTCCCCACTGTGTGCAGAAGATGGTTTGGGAAGGACTGCTGTTTACTGACGTGGCACGTGACACTGTCAAATGTCTTCATTTTATAACTGTAAACCACATCTTCCTAGAAATTTAGATTGTTTATCCCTAAATATAACAAATTTCATTAAGCATCAGTTTAACTTGTCTAAGTTTAATAGTAGTTATTACTGATGAAAACCTTGGTAGAGAGAGAGATGTTGTCTAGTCAACTCCAAGTCATGACGATTTTGTGTACAACAGACTGCCACATCTTTTTCCTGCGGAGCAGCTGGTAGGTTTAAACAGCCAACCTTTCAGTTAGCAGCCAAGCTCTTTAACCACTGTGCCACCAGGGCTCCTTACTACATACTAAACCAAAAAAAGCAAACCCACTGCCGTCGAGTCAATTCTGACTCATAGCAACCCTACAGGACAGGGTAGAACTGCCCCATAGGGTTTCCAAGAAGCACCTGGCAGATTTGAACTGCCAACCTTCTGGTTAGCAGCCTGAGCTCTTAACCACTACACCTCCAGAGTTTCCTACTATATACTAGACACGGTTAGAAGCACATTAACTCATAACTCATTAATTACACATTAACTCATTTAATTCTCAACAATTTTATCAGGTAGATAATATTACTGTTCGTATTTTACAGATGTGTAAAATAGATATAGGTGCAGCGAGGTTAAGTAACTTGTTCAAGGTCACTCAGCTAGTAAGTGGCATTTTGGCTCCAGAGTTCATGATCTTAACCACCATGCTATGCTGCTTTTTGGAAGACTTGTTAAACCTTTTAAGATAGAGATTCTATAATTCAATGGGCCTCCTAAATGAATTAGGAACAGATGAGGATTTACCTTTCTTAAGTCTTTGCTTCTCCTGAAGTTCTTTATCTGCGTGAGATAAAACAATAGGAAAATTTTAAAAAGAATTGTTTAGTCTTCCCACTGAATTCATTAAGAATTACCCATGAGACAATCTTTAAACATTAAGCCAAAAATATCCCCTAAAGTCTTCTTAAAACCAAACAATAGTTTAGCTTAATTAGTGAAAAATGTCTGCCTTGAGCATTATGCTCTTTTAAGAACTATTTATAGGAGCTACAGCTGCTAACCAAAAGGTCAGCAGTTCGAATCCACTAGGTGCTCCTTGGAAACCCTCTGGGGCAGTTCTACTCTGTTCTTTAGGGTCACTATGAGTCAGAATCAACTCAACAGGTTTGGTTTTTTGTATATGGGATCAAAGTGATAACAGCAACTAGAAAGATTAGAATGGAACCTTAGGGGGCAGTGAGTTTATGTTAATAAAGGAGGACAACTCAGAAAAGGAGAACGAGAATGGCTACACAACTCAATAGTGTAATCAGTGTCACTAAATGGGACACATAGAAACTCTTAAATTGGTGTATGTTTTGATGTGTATGTTCTCAACAACAAAAAATAAACTGTATTAAAAAAAAAAAAAGGAATTACCCAAAGAAGTATCCTCATGTTGAGGTTCCAGATCATTTTGTCCAAAACTTTAAACGGAGTCTGTTTATTATTCTTAATTGTGGTAAATCGTGTGTTTTTAAAAAATTATTATTATAAAGTATTACATTTTAGGCATTGAGGGGGTCTGAGGAAACACTTGTAATTCCATGCCCCTACCCCACTGTTGGGGCCCTGATGGTGCAGTGGTTAAGTGTCTGGCTGCTAACCAAAAGGTCAGCAGTTCAAATCCACCAGCTGCTCCTTGGAAACCCTATGGGGCAGTTCTGCCCTGTCACTGAGTTGGAATCTACTGGACGGTATCTGGTTTTTTTACCCCAC